AAGTCAAGCTGAGTCAAGAAGCAGTAGCTTCCTCTTGTCCATCACATAATGACTTTGTTTCACCTCTCCAGCTCCCAGTGAGCACTACTCCTTCTCCCCTCCTGTTGGACCCGGGAGTGGCACTTCCTTCTCCACAGCAGGAGACGGAGGGATCAGGGGGGTTAGGGTCTGGGAGTCGATCAACTCTTACATCACAGGGTCAGTCTGTCCTCCTTCTTGTCCACATTTGTTTTTATTTTAGCCTTAAGCTATTGCAGAGCCTATAACCAGTGCATTTGATGGTGGTAGTAACTGTTCAATTAGTAGTGTTTGGCTCAAAACAGGGTGGTTGGAGCATTTGATAAATATGCTATTTTATGTTTGCTACATTATCTAATGTGTAATTGGGGAATGTTGTGAAAATTATTCATTAACAAGTTTATAATGCAGCACTGATTTGACCTCTTTATGCACCTGAAACTGCTTTGTGTTTTAACAGTTGAATGTTGTTATGTCATATTGAGTTGTTAGTGGGGAAGGTGTTGGGATTTTCAAAGGGACGGCCCATTAAGTTTTAATGAAGTTGGGAGGGACTTGCTTTTTCAAAAAAAAGTGAACCGTAAGATTGAGCCACTCTTCATGCCTCAATAATTTGCTTCCAACACATTTGCTCTATTGTCTAGCCTATTTGTTCTTACACATGCAATAATCTATTACGACAATTCTTTTATTAAGTGTCCTCACATCTTCTTCACATCAGTACCATTTTTGGTGTTCAACAGTGTTTCCTCTCTCCTGTGTCTGTCCCTGCAGTCTCCAGGTGCGCAATGGCTTCTCCTGGTCCAACGTTTTTGGTCGCACACTTGGAGATGCACAGGAGCTGGAACTATATGATGATGAGTACATTATTCAGGTCAGTGTGTGTGTGTGTGTCTGTGTGTGTGTATTTGAAACATTCTGATAAGACAGTGTGACTTATGATTTGTTGACATTTATAAAATAATAATATCAATAGTATACATCTATTTTATTATACAGGTCCAGGAAATTATAGTAGCAGCAACATTTTTCTTTAAACTGAATAGTGTACTGTGATTCATATTATACTATATTCATCATTATATGAAAAACACAAAATGTGTGTACTAATCGAGGACTAACCACATGTACCAAGTGTGTTAATGTCCTCACTCTGTCATGTTTCAGATCTCTGGCAAATACATCACCTCCTATATCTATCAGCTGATCTTTGTGACCAGTACAGGGAGATCTCTGATAGTTGGCCAGCCCACACATGTAATTATCTTCAACTTTTCCTTTTTGTTACAATTATCAATACTTTTACTCATGGTCATGTGTTGACCTGTTTATGCTTTGTTACAGACCTCTTTCAACTTCTACCCGATCCACTATGGTTGCGAGCTAAAAATTCTGAGTGGTCGCTATATCACCTCAGGGATCAAGTCTTTGGGAGCTCACTGGGGAAGTCGGATGATATCGACCAACACTTCAGTCCACGACTACTGACTACTAACAACAGTCTTAAGCAG